ACAATGTCTAAATACGACCTCAATTAGTCAAGTCGGTCTGAAGTTACACGGTCGCCAACAGACGCTTCAATGATTATACATATATGTATCTAATGTCGATACTAACAATATAAGGCTGAATAGTTTGAACATGCTAATATATAGAGTCTGGCTAACCAAAGTGTGTCCTGGAGTTTTCTTAAAAGTTTTGATATGGCAACATTATTAAGCTGTCAAAGGTACGTCAAGTTTCAAAGTCTTTGGTTGCTCTGGTTTTAAGTGTTGTTATTAGCTGTATACATTTTTGTGCATAAACTAATAGGTAGATACATATAACTTGAAATGTGTATACAAATATTAGATTCGAGTTGTTTACAATAAATTGGTAAAAATGTATATCAAATTAAGAAACAACTTAACAATTACTTAATTTTGAAGCACGGACATTTTATTGTATAGTATGATGTTGATATCAATTAGAAAACTTTCAAAATATCTAAATACGTGATATGTTCCTTAAATTAGAAATTAAGTATGCAAAAAACTATTATACAAATTAATTGTTGTGAATACAAAAAAAATGCGCATATCTTTTTATGGTGTTAACTCAGGACTTTGATTTTTATACATCTAATAGGGACTATAGACCTCTGTATCTGGTATAAATTTTAACTTGCTAGGTCCACCCATTCCTGAGAAAATCGGCGGTGACACACGGACAGACAGACGGACAGACAGACAGGCAGACAGACAGGCAGACAGACAGACAGACAGACGAACAAGAGAGTGATCTTATAAGGGTTCCTTTTTTACCTTTTGAGGTACGGAACCCAAAAAACCAATAAGTTTGATAATAGCGTACGTTGCGCCTTAAATACCAAAGATAAATCCTTATCGGTATACATATTATAGTAGTTTACCATTACATTTAAATATTTATGTATGTATATCGGAAGTTGACAGTGCCAGAGGCAATAAATGCTATTAAGGTACGGTCACCACAAACCAATTAGTTTAAGAGACGTCCCAACTATTTTGCAAACTATGTGTATGCTTTCTCAGGGTCCCTTTTAATGGTTGAATACTAATTTCCTAAAGTAATATGAGTCACTAAAGTAATTTCAGACAGTTAAAATATATATTTATAATCTCCCGCAGTAAAAAGTAGCCTATGTCACTCTCCAGCCCTCCAGCTATCTCCACACAAAAAATCACGACAATTTATCATTTCTTTTCTACGTAAAAGAACGATAAAAAAACAAAAAAACAAACAAACAAACAAACAAACAAACAAACAAACAAACAAACACACTTTCACATTTATAATATTGTATGGATGTCAAACATTCGCGTAAATCTAAGAAAGTATTAGCAATGATTAGTTTATGTCTTCTTCTTTATAGTAGAATTGATTGCTTATTAACATTACCAGTTACTAGTAATAGATTGGTTTCTACATACTGTATGTATCTATAAACCAAATCTATTACTAGTAAATGGGAATACAGTTACGGTATGTAGCCATTTCAAGACTGATCTGCGATAATATTGGCCAGAAATTAGCTTACAAATGGGCTTTCCGCTTGATAAACACTGTTCATCGGACTCTCAAAGACACTTAATTATAATTTATTTATACATTTTGCTGCCTTAAATTTCTAAAAAGTGCTTTATAAATATTCATTTCCATAAAATTCATTATATATTTCCTCTTTGACGATGACATAAAAATGAATTCCTTTAAATTTAAAGTATTAGATGAGAATCTATAAATTTCTTTTAATTATAATAATCTTTATTTATATATTAAGTACAGGTGGCCATTCAATTTCCCGTGAAATTTGCCATCTCTCGAGCAACAAGTAATTTTTTCTCATCAGCGGTAGTTTTATGTCATCTGACACAACAAAAAGAAGAAAATTGAATAAACAGTATAACTAGTAAATGTACAAAACAAGTATAAGTTGAGTAAAATATCAATGATATAATAAATAAGAAAATAGATAAAAAATATGACATTAATATGACCTTTAATATGACATTACATATTTCACAGTAGATAAATAATATTATAATATTTTACGCTTCTAGCCAAAATTCTCATTCCTAAACCATCTATTATTGAAAAATGTGTATAATAGCAAAGTTTTTTGTGATTTTGACAGCCGTTATACAAAAGCTTAATATTACCTTGACGAATCAGAAATTTATAGAAAAAAATGAAGAGAGGAGTACGTAGAAGGACCAAGGTTATCGATATAGGCCGCCGAATCTCCAAGAGCATAGGGCCGTATCTTGGTAGCCTCCCTAGACTATTAGGAATACTAGGAAGTAGACTGATGATCTGGTGTAAGGAACCGGAATCCACTGGATGCGGATGGCTCAAGCCCAAGTCTTACCATATTATATCATAACAACTTTATTCACTTTTTTTGAATGATCCATTAAATTAATGTGCATCAACAAGACAACTATAGTACATGATTTTTAAAAGATTGTACCAAATTTCTAAGTTATATCAGAATTTCAACACGTGTTGTACACTGATATAAATAAGCAAACATGTTCAAAAGCTTTTGAAATGTACTTTTAACTCATATAACACTATGTGATTAAACATTGATAATTTTCTCTGAAAGGAATTCTGACTTAACTTCATACACTTCTAATATCACGACGCAGCTAGAAGGTAATAACAGATAGTAGTCAGATAACTAAACACAAAATGTCTTAAAGTACTTGACCTATAAAGTTAAATTTGGCATTTATGTAGTTTATAAATAAGAGTCGCCAGCTAAACCACCTACGCAGTCGGCTTGGAAATCTTTAGATTTTTTTGTCAGAAACGACGACTTGTTGAAAGATTTTCTTTTGCCATGTAGATGGTCTGAAAATTATTTTTTTTTTTTGAATAAGCTACAAAAAATCAAGCTTTGTGATTGATGTATTTTAAAAATAATATCTTTCATTTGCATATAAAATAAACTAATACTATGGTCCGATTTAAATGAAGAATTTAACAATAATTTTAAAGCATAAGTTTAAAAGCAGTTCCGAACATAAAAAATCAATAACAAATAATAATACTGAAACTATTTTTTTAACCTTACAGTCATCAAATGCACTCACTTGCACTCATGCATATGAATAACGATCTCACACTTGCACTCCCAATTGTACGTTTGTCGTATCTGGGGAGATGTTTGACCCATTGGATTGGTCTTGCTGCTTAGACCCTTTCTTAAAATAGTTCCCTAATTAACATATATATAAAATTTAGGCATTTTAAAATAACTTAGTTTGCCTAAATTTTTAGGAGAATTTTACACGTGTCTGGCGGGAGTTAACGCCCATGATAAGTGTCTGGCAATAATGAATATTGTAATTTGACAATATTCTGTAAAACATATTTAAGAACCAGCTTTTCTAGTTTAACATAATCGAGTAAAATTTTTATGCACCTTTAGTACTGTTACCTGCAAATTGGCCCCGCTTTCGAACTAGCAAGTATTTAAGTCTTAACTGCATTTTAGATTATTAAGCTTTAACATATTAGCTTTTCTAAAGTGGGGTAGGTCTGGTGACTCTGGAATCTCAGTCTACTACTTTTACTATTGACACAACACTTCAGTAGTGAAAATGCGTTGATTTATGCGACGTTGATAGATGAATGTGATCCATCATTCGTTTTTGATTTACTAAACATCAGCTTGCGCCCCATCATTGATTAATAAAAGAGCTACTTTTCGTTATAACGAATATATCATAACGTAGGAGTTATAAAATTCCAAAGGTTACCACCGTTTAGTTAGTAATCTATACACTTGCTTTTCTTCATTAAGATTAAGGTTGCATGATTTTTTTAATTATGCTGCTAATAGGTCGACTGCTAGTAGGACAAAAACAGTTAAATAAAATATACTTTATTGTACAGATCTACTTATAGAAGAAACATAAAAATAGAGTAACACTTATAGCTATAGCTCAGAAGGACTTTTTTATTAGTAATTTAAAAAAAAATCTTTCTCTGAATTTCAAGTTCCTATATGCAATGGTTCTGAATAAGACACATAATATTTTCAAGTTACTTTTTTCATAACATTAAAACAGGCTACCACAGTTTACTTAAAATAAAGATAATACTCACTGTTCTATTTATACTAAGTTAAACATAATTTAAGTTGTACGCCAGAGCTAGTACAAAGTGGGAATATAATTTTAGTCCGCAATTATACTCACGCACCCTTCTGCCACTTAAAGTCTTGTGCACCGCAGTATAACAATGCCACCGCACAATCAAAGTCGAGCATTGAGTTCAGAGAATGTACAGTTTTCAGAAATTAATTTTTCATATATGTTTTTAACATTCCTAAACCTACGAATACCATATTTTTGTTAGCGTTATTTTTATGTTCAATAAAAAAATAAAATTGTCATTGGTATAGTAATACCTTTATAATTAAATTCAATAGGTTAAAGATAAAATAAAAGGACTCGTACTAAAACTACTAAAAAATAAAATAAAAGACATATGGGGTGATTCAAAATAAAAAATTCCTATTGATTGTTATAATATTTCAAAGGAATCACTTGATAACAAGGGACTGTAATAATACTTAAAAGTACCCTATAGTCCTCTCTATGGAAACCGTCACTATCTTTGCCTACGATCAGTGATTCGATTTCTGTGTTAAAGCATGTATTTTTGAATTTTTAATATAAATAATATTTATAAAAGGACAGAACAGTATTTTAAATTATTTTGGTAATTATTACAATCTCAACCTACAAAGAGAATTCTACTTTATTATGTTATTATATTTATTAGGATACCAGTGACTTACCCTCGCTTCGCTACTTTTAGCCACCTGGGGATGCACTGTTAGGTGTTTAACAGAAGCTTATACTCGTATGTTATTCCAGGTCATAGTCTATCTGTGTACTAATGCAAATTTTTCCAATGTTTCATCCGCCATATCAGCTTGAATATGATCGATATAACAACAATGTTCACTCTACAGGATGCTCTACGTGGAAGGCGATGTGCATCTCTACGGTCTGCTGCTACGCCGCTTCGACCCGACGACTCGGGCCGTAGCACCCCGTCCGCTGTGCACCGCGCCTCTCCATCGCCGGCTGACACACCTGCGCCTAAGAAATCGAACTGGGAAGTTATTGAACATTTCTCTTCCAATAGGAGTAAGAAGAGCCCAACTTCTGTAAGTATTCAATATAATTTAATAAGGCTATAAAATTGAAAATCCTTTATTTTATATTTAAGCCGCCTTTCGATTTTAATTCAATTAAGGGCGCCAAAGACTTTACGGTTACGGATATTGTTTATGAAGTACGCTGTATGCTACCAACTTTATGAGTTTGGATCATAATTATTATTTACAAACTATGAGCGTCTAAGAAATTGTTTTTAACTATTTCATACAAATATTTATTACATTGCTGCAATTATTTTTAAAGTTATATAATAGGTATTTATATATAATAAATAAAATTTATTACTATACGAGTACATCAGTAAACCTTATGTTTTATTTATATTTGGATTTACCAAAAAATAAGTTATAAAATGCAAGATCCTTTATAGTAAACAAGCGTTATTCCGATATGTGTTATTCTGATGTTCAAGGAATGTTACTGTGTAATTTCATCAAAATCCGTTCCGTAGTTTGTGCGTGAAATAGCAAACATCTATCCATCCCTCTATCTTCACCAATTTTCGCGTTTATAATATTAGTAGGACAGATAGGTTAGTTTTAGTTTCTCTTATTTAATGTTCTCTCTCCTTTTTCCAACATAAAAAAAACAAAAGAAAGATTAGGTAAACGTTCGAAATTAACGACGATTACAGAACAGTCTAACTATAAAGAGTTTGTACATCATAATTTTTAGTTTTAAATTTAACAGTCACATATTGTACATTAAAATAAATATTTATGTACATAAGATAAAGCCATCACGTTAAAAACTGCATTTATAGAGCCTTTTAGATTTACGAAATCCCCAGATTCAGTCTGCAATAAAAGTCTATATGGTAAACAAAAGCTTAAATACTAAAGCTTATGTGATTGAATACAAAAATTCGCAAATGGTGCCTAAAAGGTGAAACAAATTTGAAGCTTTAACTTCCATTAAATCAAAATATGTATAGAATATGTAATTTTAAATATCGGATAACAATTTAAGGAAAATAAGAAACTATTATTTTTAATGCATTATTGTAAAATGTACAAGCAAAACTTAGAAAAAAATGTGAAAGAACTGGTAAGGTTACGATTAAATTACACAATAAACAAATAGTAATCTTAATTAAACAGGTAACAGTGATGTACATAGGTTTGATTTATGATTTAAACATAATTTTCTACATTATTTTTGTCACAAAATTATAATATCCATATCCATACTAATATTTAAACGTGAAAGTATGTTTGTTTGTCCTACTTTCACGTCGAAACAAAGTGACAAATTGTCGTGATTTGTGTGGAGATAGTTGGAGCTCTGAAAAGCTACATAGACTACTTTTTACCGCAGGAGATTATCTCATTCCCACGGTAAAGTACATCAGTAATACCACCCACAATAACTCCTCATACCTATGTATATATATGTACATAATTAATATGAAGTCTATTTATTGAGTGAAGCAAGGATCAGTCGCTAGTTATAGATATATTGCAAAGCTTTCAAATAATCTGCCATCTTACAATTCTATTAGCCTTTTTATTTTTTTATTAAATTATGAAATTCAGTGCCATTTCATCGCAATCTAACTTACCAAAAGTTCAAAACTATATTTTGTATAAAACTCACTTCATTTATAAATGGGAATAAACTATTTTAGACTAGCTTTTAATTAGCCAGTTCCCTATTTATCAATTCTCACAAAATATTTTACATATTATGTAAAATACTGCTACAAACTATTTTGTATTAAAAACGGAAATTGAACTTTCCAGTAAGCGTAATGCTTTGACAAAGTTGCTGGTGTCGAAATGTTTCAATTTCATTTTACTAAATATATTAAATACTAGCGGCTCACCCTCACTTTGCTAAGGTTCGTCCCTAGGTACGTTTTAATGTTTACTCGTAGTATAAAATAGATAGACTATATATTTATATCTATATAGGTATGATCAGTTATTATGAGTTGTATTATAACGTGTTTTCTCGTGGGAATGAGATAATATCACGCCAATCCATCACTCTGATTCGACTTAAAAGAAGGTCAAACGAACAAACGAACTATCACACTGTCACATTTATAATATTAGTATAGATTTTGAGGAGATTCTATTTAAAGATGGAAACTATACGTATTAATGTGTTAACAAACATAATTATTAATAAATTAAAAGTAAAAAGGATTTTTAAAAACCTACTTTTATTACAAACATGTTCACTAAAAATAAAAACTTACTTGCCCAAATTCGGTTGTCCTACAATCATGTCGTATTCCATCAGGGAGTTTCAGTCCTTACATCCCGGTCCCATCAGCCAGATCAGCTCGATGGTAACATAATATTTCACTGTCACCGAAATTACATTAGTAAACCTAGCTGCCATCCAAGGGCCAGACTAACCCGACATTATACCGAAGAAATCCCGGACGTCAGCCTGAGCGAGATTAGCTTGTTGTTTAGCAGATGGAATTACGGCCGAACTTCTGAAGACGGGTGGAGAACCGATCCTTATGGCCCTTCAGACGTTATTTAATTCCGTCATACTCCAAGGAAAAACATCACGAAGCAGAAGCAAAGTGGTACTGTTTTTTAAAAAGGGCGATAATACCTTGCAAGAATTACAGACCCATATCGCTTCTGAGCCATGTCTACAATCTGTTTTCAAGAGTCATTATGAACCGACTTGAATGCATGCAAAGGTTTGACGACTTCCAGCCTCCCGAACAAGCTGGTTTCCGTAGAGGTTTTAGTACCGTAGACCACATACATACGCTGCGGCAGGTTATACAGAAGACCGATTACGATTACGAAAGTCTTTGATTCGATCGACACTTGGGCTGTGCTGCAGTTTCTCCAGCGGTGCCAAGTTGACCATATATTGAAGTGTTGAAGTGTTTATATGAAAACGCCACTATGTAGTCCGATTTTAGGACCGGTACTCAAGACCCATCCAGTTGCAGCAAGGAGTACGACAGGGCGTTGTCATCTTGCCGAAATTGTTCACCACTGCATTGGAAGATGTCTTTAAGGTCCTGGACTGAAACAGCATAGGCATCAAATTTAACGGCGAGTACATCACTCACCTTCGACTTGCCGATGATATAGTGGTTATGGCTGAGACCATGGAGGACCTCAGTATAATGCTCAATGATCTCAATGGAGTCTCCGAACGAGGTGGTCTATCAATTAACATGGATAAAAAGGGCTGATTGTATTCAGTTAATACTACTGTCGATATTAACTATTTATAATACATTTTCGATGTAAATGTTTATTTTATTTATGCTACGAAATATAAATACGTGATTTAGTTATCATCCCAACCTTTCACCATAAAATTGTGTGGGAAAATATTTTGTTATACTTCAGCCTTTATAAGAGTTTGGGGAAGAGCAAACGTGATACTTAGATGATTTGATGGAATGTAGTTACGTGCTCTTGAATATTTTAACACTTCGTACATATAAAATTTTTCTCACGCTCATATTGAATACCACATCGGTAATCTATCATGTTCCATTAATAACCATTACCTTTGCAAATATCACTATACATCTATGTAGAAAAATATAGCAATCAATATGGAAACAAAAAGAAAAGTCGTCTGTTATATACGATAATCGAATAATGCCTTTCCATTTAACGAAGTTGGCATTGGATATAGAAAATGTCAGAATAATCACCAAGAATTTTTAAATAGGAGAAAACGTTCTAAATAAAAATTATTTTTAATATAACTTCACTTATAATTCTCATTCCCCGATCTAATATTACTTGGAAAATGGAAAATGATTATTTTTTTATTTATTTTATGAATACAAATTATAAAATAAATATAACTTTTACTTCTTATCAATAAAATCAGCAAAAGCTTTTATGTGTAAATCATTTTAGATAAAGTTATAAATGCTTATAAATAAAATTAAATATAAAACATGAATTAAATCAACAGTACTGTATTATCAAAGTAGAAGTAGGTAATAAGTTTATTTGTATATTCCACATAGAAAAGTAGATATAACATGTTCCGGTACGGTTCGATATTATGTTACAAATTAGAAAAAAGCTAATCCCGTCCAAGCTGGCACAAGAGAGATCATGTACTGGGAGTTGGAATGGTTCTCAGTGGTGGTAGATTTTTATAATAAAATGAAATTGTACTTGCGTGACTTACATATTTAATAAACATGCTAAGCATTTTCTGCACTCGCTTTTTTCTACCTGCTTTTACATACCAAATAGAAAAAAGGCCTAATTTCAAATGTGTTAGAATGAGGAAAGAGTTTGAAATATTTTATCACCTCTTAAGAAATTTAATAATAAAAATATTTTATATCGTTTCAAAAATCGATTATGGGATAAATAGCAATAGTGGAATTCTAATTTTGCACAATATTTTTGAATCGAATGTCCACTATATAGACTATGTTAAATCATGATTTTTTCAATATACATCATGAAGTTTTTTCAAGTTTTCAGTATTTTTCAGATTTTATTTGATAAAGCATTTGATAAAAAATTAGTAAATTTTTCACATAAGCTATTATTTACTTTATAGGGGCATAAGTGCTTTGATATAATTATATGTACCTAACTACTGAATATCTATAACAATATTCTAAACAGGAAAAAATACTATTTATGTTTGTAATGAAATTTGGTATGAAGATAGTTTATGACCCTTTGGAAGGATATAGTATCGTTTTTATCCCGGAAATCATCAATTAAGGGAGTGAAAACGGGATGAAAGTTTGTATAGGGAATCAATTTCATTTCTCAAGTAAGGGATATAAAATTCAACGTACCTTTGTATTAATATATTAGCGTTTCTATTCTGTACTAACCGTTAAAACGTACCTAGGGGCGAACCCGAGCGAAGCGAGGGTGAGTGGAAGTATAGAATAATTGCACTGTGAAGCCTACAGGCAACAAGATGGTTTTATTAGGACCAACGCACCGCTAATTAACGTCATAACCAGAGGGCGTCAAGAATGTAGAAGTTAATCTTTAAGAAGAAGTTA